AAAAAAGAAATAAATAAACAAACAGTTTTGAAAACTTCGGTTTTCATTCTTTTCCTGCTTTTTGTGTCAACTTTTGCGGTTGCTAAGAAACAGAGCATAGGGCGGTAAAACCCACCGAAGGGTAGACCTGGTCGAATTCACAACCAGAACTCCTCCGGTCTCCTTATTTTCAAGGACTTCGAAGGATCCAGTCTAGGTAGACGTCCTTGGAGGATGCAGCCCAGGTTTTCGAACAGCGCGAATGACTATTGTGTATTAGTGTTTACACAACTGTGATAGGGTGAACCAGGAAGTAGGAATTTGGGGGGCGGAGCTTAGTCTTTAAAAGCCAGAGGGAGGCAAATCTGGGCCTTTTAATTCAGTTACTCCACATGGGTGTAGAGGGCAGCTGGCAGCCATTGCACTCAAGTTTTTAAGCCAAATCTGGGTTTGGTGCACAGACAAGAAGGTAAATAGATACAATATGTTTGTCACAAAAGCAGTGCAGCCAATAATGACCACATCCTCTTAGGTCCAAGCAAAAGTACTAGTCATCAGTCCTGGGAAAGTGTGTGTGTCCCACCTTACTTGATGAAAGGTCCTATCACCTGCTGGCCTCCAGAACTAGGAGAGTTATTTTGTTGGATGTTAATAAAGGTAACTTTTAAATAGTTAAGATTGTAATTTTAATAATAAAATGATGGTCATACTGAATGTAAAATATTTGTATCTTTTAGTGATGATTTGGATGCTGCTGAGCCGCCATCCACTGTTTTTTTCCTTGGTTAAAGTTTAGGCTGTACATTAGTTGTTTGGGCCTGTATAGACTTTTTGGACTCTGTCAAATTAGATTGACTTACCCCGAAATCATACTCCGCTCCCTCCCACTGCGCTCCAGACTGTCTGCACAAAGCAAAGCCTACAGCCTCCGCAGTGGCTCCCGTCCACTCCGCTCTGAGTTCCTTGGAGATCGTAGAGGGCATGCGCGAGATGAACCAGGGTTTCCGCGGATCATTAAAAATAATTACAATTCATTAATTTATTTATGTTTAATCAAGGCTTATCGTGTTTATCATGGCATTTATAATTAATTTGCGTGGAACTGATCATAAAGCCGTATGTTCGGAAAGGAAGCTCGAGGGGGAGAAAAAGCTAGAGAATATATGTATATACGTGTGTGTGTGTTTACATGCATACAAGAGTCATGGAACTGTGCTTACAGCTCCTTCATATTTCATGTACACTAATAACTTGTGTACATGGTACTTGTTAATGGCATTAAAATTATTTCTAATAGCATTAAAATAGCATTAAATTAGTGTCACTCATTCCTGTCTGTACCCTGTGAGCGTTTAATTTAATATGGCATATTAATAAAATCCCACCATCATCCAGCATATGTTCAGTGTCTGCCGAGATTTTTTTTTTGTAGATTTTTGTAACTGGGATAACTAGGATAATTCAAAACTGCTTTTTTTGAATGAACTTTGTTTGTTCTCTACTGCCAAACTCAGCATCTCCTTATCCATTCCTGTAATAAGAAGCTTCTTTTGAATGGATTTGATTAAACTTGAAGTCCCTCAGTATAAAATAAATATTTTGATGGAGATGAGGCATCTGCTTCCTCGTTGGGGAATAACCAATAGTTTACATCCAATAATTTAAATAAACGGTGTTAGTTTATATATATACACTCACCGG